TAATCTTGACATTAATATTTGTAAAGATCATGTTTCCTTTTGCTATGTTTTCCTCAGAACCGACCTGCACTTGGAATGGGGGATTTTTTTAAAAAAGATATTTATTTCCATAGGTTTTTGTGGAAGAGGTGGTATTTGGTTGCGTGAGGAAGCACTTTAGTGGTGATTTGTGAGACTTTGGTGCACCCATCACCCGAGCAGTATATACTAAAGCTAATTTGTAGTCTTTTATCAGAGTGGGATAATTTTGATAGTTGTTTGACCTAACTAAACTGCTTTTCAAAAATATATTTTGGCTGGGTGCAGTGGCTCACGCCTGTAATCCCAGCACTTTGGAAGGCTGAGGAGGGCAGATCACAAGGTTAAGAGATTGAGACCATCCTAGCCAGCATAATAAAAGCCCGTCTCTACTAAAAATACAGAAAAATTAGCTGGGCGTGGTGGTGCACACCTGTAGTCCCAGCTACTCGGGAGGCAGAGGTAGGAAAATTGCTTGAACCAGGGAGGGGGAGGTTGCAGTGAGCCGAGATTGCACCACTGCACTCCAGCCTGGGCAACAGAGAGAGACTCTGTCTCAAAGAATAATAATAATAATATTTTAGTCACATAATTAACATAAAATCTGGGTCATCTATACCTTTGTGCTAAGAGGTAGAAAGGCATGCATCTGAATTTTAATGTTTTTAGTTTTCATTTTCTGGAGTTTCTAATACTGTTCTAAAGAATCAAATGGATACAACGGCTTCATTTACCAAAGGAGGCAGTAGTTTGAGCTCTTAGATTAGAGAAAATACAAAACAAGAAATGCCCCTCTTTTTCTCTAGGGTCTTTAAAGAAACTAGTCCAAGTTTATCTATAGAGCAGTGGTGTTTTTCTGTGCAACTGTCTAAAGAACAAACCAAAGCCGGGCATGGTGGCTCACACCTATAATCCCAGCACTTTGGGAGGCTGAGGTGGGTGGATCACGAGGTCAAGAGATCGAGACCATCCTGGTCAACAAGGTGAAACCTTGTCTCTACTAAAAATACAAAAATTAGCTGGGCATGGTGGCGCGCGCCTGTAGTCCCAGCTACTCGGAAGGCTGAGGCAGGAGAATTGCTTGAACCCAGGAGGCGGAGGTTGCAGTGAGCTGAGATCGAGCCATTGCATTCCAGTCTGGGTAACAACAGCGAAACTCCGTCTCAAAAAATAAAAATAAAAAAAATAAAACAATCCAAATAAGAATGTCCTAACATGGCAAGAGCATTGCCTTTTGGTATATTTCTATTAGGAATCTTTACCAGCAGTTCAGTCAGTCTCGTCTTCTTATATGCCCCATGTGCTCTGTTTTGTGCCCAGTCTTATGGCAAAGGTATTTTGGAGGGGGGTTGCTGGACAATTTATGCTTAGAGATCTTCTTAACAGATTTCTCTAGTTAAGTAGGAACCCTTCTGATAAAACGTGGCAGGTTCTATGAACCTAAAGAGAGACTCAATATCTCTCTGAATGCCTTTAAGTCACTGCTCAAATTGCAAGTGCCTATTTGGAGGGGAAAAGCATTAAAATAACTTGAAAAATTATTTCACTGGCAACTTAGAATGCAACGTATTTTATTTTTGAACTTCTAAACTTTGAAAACAAGATAGCCTAGGATAAATAATATAGTTCTCTAAAATTGGATGTGCTCATTTAGAGCTCAGTTTTTCTGCTTGAAATACAAACACAACTTTCTACTCTGTTTTTTTTTTTTTTTCCTTATTTTTTTATTGCATTTTAGGTTTTGGGGTACATGTGCAGAGCATACAATACAGTTGCATAGGTACACACATGGCAGTGTGTTCTGTTTGCTTTCACCCCTTCACCCACATTTGGCGTTTCTCCCCAGGCTATCCCTCCCCACCTCCCCCTCCCACTGGCCCTCCCCTTTTCCCCCCAATAGACCCCAGTGTTTAGTCCTCCCCTCCCTGTGTCCATGTGTTCTCATTTTTCATCACCCGCCTATGAGTGACAATATGCGTTGTTTCATTTTCTGTTCTTGTGTCAGTTTGCTGAAAATGATGTTCTCCAGATTCATCCATGTCCCTACAAACGACACGAACTCATCATTTCTGATTGCTGCATAATATTCCATGGTGTATATGTGCCACATTTTCTGCTTGAAATACAAACACAACTTTCTAAAACTCCTAGGTGGGAACACTGCTCTTTTGATGGTCTGTGATTAGATGAACTGATCTACCTCAGTTGGTAACATCCCTTTTTTACCCTTTGTTTTTTTTTTTTTTTTTACCCTCTGGGAAGGATTTAAACATTCTAGAATAGATGCATTGTGTTTCTGGTCTTATACTGACAGTTTCATTCCAAATGTCTCCCTAGAGGTATAAACTGTCACAGACAGGAATCAGTCTTCATCCTTCTCACTTTCACACACGTCAGAAATCAGCATCAAAATACTCACCAAGCTGTGTCTGCTCACCTCTAGAAAGAGGGCTTGATTACCATTGACCTGTAAAGGCCTTCTAATTATCTTGATGAGTTTACTCACGTTGACCTGATCAGGTACAAAATTATGTGGTTTTCCAGGACAGGAAGTTGCTTCCCTCCCATGTCCTTCTTTTGTCACTGAGATTTTGGTAGGATGCTGCTGTGAGTTAAGTGAGGCATCCACTCTTTGTTGGAAGGAGTGGCACTGCTTGAAGGTCTTCTCCAACCTTGTGCTGTGCAAAGCTGGGCAAGGGCTGTGGCCCGCAGAGGGTCCTGGCCACTCCGGGTGGTGACAGTGACTGCTGCAGATCTGATTGGGCAACAGAAGCTTCCTTTGTCTAAAGTTCTAACTTGAATTTCCTGCATTCATTCACTCATTAATTAATTAATTCATTCATTCATTTAGAGATGGAGCCTCACTCTGTTGCTGAGCTGGAGTGCAGTGGCATGATCTCGGCTCACTGTAACCTCTGACTCCCTGGTTCAAGTCATTCTTCTGCCTCGGCTTCCCGAATAGCTGGGACCACAGGCGCGTGCCACCACGCCCAGCTAATTTTTGTATTTTTAGTAGAGATAGGATTTCACGATGTTGGCCAGGATGGTCTCAATCTCCTGAACTTGTGATCTGCCCGCCCTGGACTCAAAGTGCTGGGATTATAGGTGTGAGCCACCACGCCCTGCCTCCTGCTTTTATTTTTAAAAGAAAATGTTTGTTGGAAGAAATCCCAAAGTTTGATAAGAGTTTTGAAATCAAATTTATTGTAGATTCAGCCATAGGGAAAAACCTTGAGGTGCCACATACCATAAAATACTGTTCAGGGTCATGTTTTGGGTTCTTTCTCATAGGAATGTGGAATATCCAGAGAAGTACCTAGGAAAAGATTACCAGGTGGAAAATAGGATAAATAAGGAAAGGCCTGGTGGTTTCTTTACTAAAAAAGGAAAAATTGACCTCAGAGTCTCAAGTCAGCTTGTTTAATTCCTTAAGCAATGTTGATTACATGCTTATCATACACTAGATACTGTGTTATGGGATCAGAGTTAGGTATTGAAATAGATGGCTATAATCACTGTGATAAGCTGAGGGAAGATAGATTCCAAATACTGTTGGAACCTGGCAGAAGGGCAGGTGAGCCAGTGATCAGGGAACATTCCAGAGAAGGCAGGGTTTGACCTGAGGCTTAAATATGGGTGTGAATTTACCTGGTGGATAGGCGAAGACTTTTTAGAAAGCATGTGCAAAATAAAAACAGTATATATGAAGACTCCTAAATAGAGTATGATGGAGAGAGGGTAAAAAGTAAGCAGGTTGGATACCAAAGAAAGGAAGTGCGTGAAGCTGGCACAGTAGTGCGTGCCTGTAATCCCAGCTACTCAGGAGATTGAGACAGGAAAATCGCTTGAGCCCAGGAGTTCCAGATCAACCTGGGTGATATAGCAAGAGCCTGTCTCTAAAAAACACAACAATAAAGGTGAACAGAGAAAAGAGTACCTTCCTTGCCATAGTTATTCCTTAGAATTTGGATTGTCTTATTATTATTATTATTATTTTAATTTTTAGTATCCAGTGACAACCCATTCTATGAGATAGAAAGCGCAGTCCCAGCATCTTAAAGGCAATGAGAAACTAATTAATCTAGGGAGGAATATTATCATATTTGCTTTTTTTTTTTTAAAGCCTTTGTGGATGGTTTTCTTAAAGTGAAGTCTGTTGAGTTCTCTATATCCACAAGGGAGAAAGTAAGAGGGAAAAGATAACATGCAGGGAATGAATTGTTGCAAGAGAGAACTGGATTAGACAAAGGAAGAACTTGACCTGTGGGGATTAGACAGAGGTTATGAAGGGAATTGGTAGCCTTTTCAGACTGAAGATGTTTTATAAAGGGTGGTCGTCGCCTTTCACATTTTAAATTTTGTTTCTGGTTGAGGTTGGACGTGTTCAGACTTCCTATGGTGGATTCTTTAGAAGAGTCATTCTGTCTCTTAACAGAGGACACAGAAAACAAAGTTTCAGTGCTCCCCAGAAGTTTGGCTTAGGCACAACTGAATAGGCCTGTTTCTTGCAGTACTTTTTTAAAACAACATTGAATATGATAATACAAACTAAGAATATTTGAGTGAAACATTGGATACAGGGTCTCCAAACTTAATTGATTACAGGACCCCTTTTTTATAAGGAACTTATATTCTTCTAAAGAGCACTCTTGGTAAAATACTGAACCGGATACATTTGATTTGGTTACAAACTCTAAGCATCTTCCTTAAGTTCTGAAATTTAAAAAAAATAAGATTTGAATTTACTTATTCATTATGGAATTATGCTCATTCATTCAATGCTGCCTTATCTGGGGCATATACAAGCTCTTAAGTCTGTTGAAATTTAATAATAACTATGCAGTGACTATTTTTCAGAGTCCTGTGGGATGGATAAGTCAGATAAAATATGAACAGATATAATCTCCACCTTAAACTCAAATCAAACTAAAATCCTAAGGGCCAACTTAGTAGAAAATTTGGGAAACAGTAGGTCTACTTACTTCAAAGAATGAAAGGAAAAGAGGGAGTAGATAAACCATCCCTTATCTCCACACCTGATATTTCTTGGTACATGTTAAAACTCAGCAGGTTAGAATTCTAATATGTAGTCAAAGAGAGATGGAACTCTGGAGTTGTCTAAAGAATGTTGCCTTGGGAATGTAAACATTTAAGTGCCAGGAATAAGATTTGGGATCCTCAGCAAACTCTAAGGCCAGTGCAGTGGCACATGCCTGTAATCCCAACGATTTGGGATGCTGAGGCAGGAGGATTGCTTGAGTCTAGGAGTTCAAGGGCAAAATAGTGAAACCTAAAATACGAAAAACTTTTAAGAACTAGATTTTTTAGTGATTAAATCTAATCCTAGGGTTGCAAATAGATTTTTTCTTTTTTCTCCCTCTGTGCATATGCTTACCCAAGCAAATAAATTTTAATTGAGATATTTAAATGTCAATTCTAATTAGTTGTCAATGTTGCTTGGAGTATTAGGGCGAGAAGAGTTGAGACTGAACCTCAACTAAATCCATGAAACAAATGTGGCAATTGGTGAGCAATATCTGCCTTACCTGGGGGGAAGTGTGTGAAGCTCCCAATTCTCGTAGTTGCCACCCCCTTTCTAAGTTATACTCGAAGCATGTTAGGTCGTAAAGGGTGCTGTGAGCTGGATTGAATCAGGAACAATTTGAGAAATAGAATGACTGACAATATCTTGCCAAATCACACAGTGTATGTAACGCTATAGGTCTAGAAGAAACTGGTGTACAAAGGAGCCTACTAACATTGATCGAGATTAGAAACGTGAACTTTGCAGAAATGTGGTGCAACCCAGCACCCCATAGAAAGGAGTCCTTGACAAAGAATTCTGCAAATATCTTTTAGCACATGAAGAGTACATCTTCAAATTTTGTATAGTGTCTATATGAGAATTTCTGCTGAAGACTGTATAGTTGGTCTTTCCTGTGAATAAATCAAATTCATGTTAATATCTTTGTCAAGCAGAACTGAAAATTCTTGATGAAGTTCTCAATATAAAGAATTTTCTTTCCTTTTCCAAGTGGGGCCTCTGTTACCCACAGGGATCCCTCAACGTCCCTACAATAGGTGAAACTATCAAGCAGAGGTATATTAGACTGGGAATGGTGGAAGAAACTAGTACCCGTTGTGTCACTGTTGATCACACAGCATCCAGACAAATCCCTGCCACCACATCCTAGTAGGGCTTGCCCTATTGATGGGTGAGCTGCCGCCCACGTGTAGTGGCGCTCCTGGTGAGTCAGGAAGAGTTACACCTTCACATCCAGCTTGCTGCCCACATCCAATTCTGTTTCTTAGCCAAATAACATAAAAAGCAAGTTGAGAAATATACAAAGTAATGTCCTTCTGAATGTTTATTTGCAGTAGTGTCTGGTTTGTGGCTAAAATTCTGGACTTGAAATTAGGAGAGCTGAGTAGAAATAGAAATGGAAAGGTCTGTGTTCCTTTCTCAGTTTGACCAGGCACTGCCTTAGAACTTTTGACAATTCAACTTTGCTGGGCCTCAGTTTCCTCATATTTGATTGGGAAGAGAGGGGGGCTGGAGGTGGAAACAATGAAGGAAGGGATTGTCTATTTAATGACTTTTGGACATTTTATCTAAAGTGTTACCTGCATTTCCCCAGGCCATGCCTAGTGAACTCTCAAGAATAGCAGTGAGATACTGAGCCTACAGCTTGGATGAAATAGAGGGAGCTAAAACCACATGCATCCCTGCTCCCCAGACTTCTCCCAACTAATGCAGAAGGTTCCCAAGGTTTGCCAGACAGCGATTTGAATTTCTGTGATCTCTCTGGCTACCTTGTTGTAATACTGGCGCCCTGTGGCCTTTGAAATAGGCACAATCATGAGGCTAGTACTTCACCCCTCACTTACCTGTCTTAAAACTGTGCTGCTTTGAGCTGTTTCCCACAGATATCTGGGTGCTGTGGCTCCATGCAAGTTCCTGAGGATTGGGCTGGACACAACCCACCTCCACTCAAAACCACCTTTTCCTTAAGAAGACCCGTGCTTGTCATTAAATCATGTATACAAGCTGGCGTAGACCTTTTAATTAAGTTCTTAAGACCAATTAAGTTATTTAGCCTTCAAAGTTTTTGCTCTCAAAATCTTTAAAAGACTTCTAAAACTTCTAAAGTATCTCTGCAAATGTTCAAGTCAACATGAACATATTGTATAAAGGATCTATTTTCTGTTGTCAACAGACAAAATTACAACAAACTTAATTTAAATAGCTCAATTGGCTGTATTGTAACTCTAGAATTGGGCAACACTTCATTCCATAAAATATAATAAGTATTCTGATGAGCTGAGCAGAAGGAGTTGGCTTTGTAGGCGGAGGACAGCTGAAGAAAGCAAAAGCAAAGAGAGCAAAGAGTGTATTAGTCATTCCACAGCTACTTTTCGGTAAGGCAGGACAGGGAAGCAGAGTAATAGAAAAAAATGTGGCTCCCATCTGTAATCCCAGGTACTCAGGAGGTTGAGGTGGGAGGATCAGTTGAAGCCAAGAGTTCTAGGCTGCGGCAAGCTATGATCTTGCCACTGCACTCCAGCCTGGGTGACAACGCACGAACCCCTCTTAAAAAAAGAGAGAGAGAGAGAGAGAGAATAACTGATAAGTTAACATTAGGCTACTGTGTGTGTGTGTTTCATATGTACTAAGTAATGGAACAGAAGATTCAACAGTTCTTACATAGCTTTTATTGAAAAAAGAAAAAAAAGATAAACTGTCTTGAAACTACTCCTGTATTTTGAAAAGCATTTTCTTTTAAAAGTAGCTGGCCAAGAATCCAGAAAAACTTTGAGAGAATCTCCTTCCCTCTTGCTTTCTGTTCTCTTACCTGATGTCAGTCATTTTATTTGCTTTTCTTGGGCAGTCAGAAATCAGTTTTTACCTTGAAATTAAGACACTCATTTTTTTGTCTTAGAAAATGTTAATCATACTGTTTGGTTCGGGGTACTGTCTTAGGCTAACTTGACAATTTCTAGGTTTTTTTGTTAAGTAAAAATTATTAGTTTGCTGCCTCTATATCCACTTGCATAAAAAAGGATAATATCTAATTATGACTTCCCACTTTTTGAAAACGCTTAACTGTTTATGAGCGTAAGGATTTAAGCAGAAGTTTTTCGTGCTGATTGAAGATTTAAACTGGCTTGTTCGGGAAATCAGCTGTTATCTCTTTCTCCTGATTTCTCAGAAGGGCAAATACATTCTTAGTTTGAGTTTGGGAGAGGGGAACTTTAGCATGAGTGATGCCATTCTGACTTTTCTTCTGGTCTGTTGAAGCCTGGTGCAGAAACAGTCCAAAACAATGCCTCCCGTGATTTTTATTTAACAGTGTTGTCTTCATGCTTTAAATACCTTTTCCTTAAAATCACAGAGTTTCAGATTTGTCTCGGGCCAGGAATTGTTCATAGAGCAAATTATCTGATCAAATCAGACTGGCTGTTTCTGTCAGGAAAAAGTTGACTTTCTTTCTTTATTTTTACTGAAAATAAATGTGATTACAGGCATGTCTGTGCAACCTCACTTCTGAATATAAGAGACACAAGGTTGGGGAGGGGAGAGAGAGAATAAGAGAAAAGGCATGGAGCTTTACTGTGGCTTTCTTCACCTTGCCCTCCCTCTCCCAAAATCTCCATCCCCTGCTCCCTCTGCTTCATGGCCCAGAGGTGTTTACCCCTGGAGCTAGCACACAGGACGCTTAGGTCCCAGTGGGGCTTTGCCTTCATTTTCTTTTATAAAGTGGTTGCAGGGCCTTTGGTTGGGAGAGAGGATGTGGGAAAGGGAACCACAGGCCGCTGCAGGCTTCTCTTCTGAAGAGCAGTGTTAGGAGAGGGCATGTGAGAGCTGAGGATTTGAACACAGATTCTGTTAAAGCTGCCCAGGCCTGTGAACCCTTGGAAAGTCACAGGGACCCCAGTTTGAAGACCATTTCTTTAGACCCCATCACTTACTCCAGTTGAGTCTGGGACATGCCAAGGCAGATCGGATTGCAACTCTTAGATTAGGCCTTCATGTTTGTTGAACATTTACAATTACCAAGCAGCTTACCTTTATGTCTGCCTTCCTGAAGACCTATTACAGATAACTGTGTCATCCACACTCAGGTAGCAGAAGACTCAGGAGCCAGACTGGGGTACTCCTAGTGCCTAAAGCAACTTTTGTTCCTGCCGCAAAAACTTTCTTAGTTGCATAAGACGTGGTCAGCTGAGCTTGTGGGTTAAAAGGAGGATCTGAAAGGAAACCTCAGCCTTTGTAGACCATTTCCTGCTTGTGGTTTCCAACTTAAGAGAGAAACAGTGCCTTTTTACAGCCACATCTGTAATAGAGCCTTTTTAGAGCTGTGTCTGTGCTCCCCTTGACCAAACCTTAGTCAGGCTTCTATGAGTCTGACTTCCCCATCCTTGAGCATGTCCCCCAAGTGTTCAATTTTAGCACGAATCCTGCTAAATCAGTTTAGCCAGAATCTCCCACCTTAATATCTGATCATCCTCAAAATCTGATCAATGTTCTCATCCTCCACAATCCACTATGTAACATCTGATCACCCTGACCTGCCTTCAGCAAGAATCCCATTATGTTTGTTTAATCAGAAAACCCCCTCATCTTTGATGTTTCTCTTGGCAATTTTCCATTCACCTACTCCTGCGCTGTGCTCCTTGTCTGTAAATTCCCACTTTTGCTTGTTGTACTTGGAGTTGAACCTGATCTTGTTCCCCTGATAACAAAAACCTCATTGTAATGGTGCCCCCACCCCCTCCAGTGAATAAAGTCTTCCTTACCATCTTTAATAAGTGTCATGAATTTTTTTTGTTTAACACTCCAGTAGGGCTTTAGATAACCTTGGAAGCAATTGGATGTACTTAGATCTGCATATTATTTTGGTGTGGTAATTTATAAAACACAGACTTGGTATCTTTGTGGCTATAAAGCAATGCCTAAAGCAGGGTAATGTATAAAGAGGCTTCTTTGGTTCACGGTTCTGCGGACAATACAAGAAGCATGGCGGCAGCATCTGTTCTGATTAGGGCCTCAAGAAACTTCCACTTGTGGCACAAGGTGAAGGGG